TTCTCTTCTTTCTCCTTCTTCTTCTCCTCCTTTTTCTCTTCTTTCTCCTCTTTCCCATTCGCTTTTCTTTGTTCGTTTGTGTTTTTTCCCCCATACATTTTGTTCAATGTATGACCGTTTGATGTTTTCAACAACACAATTGTCATATTATCTTTGTCTGCTTTCCTTAGGCGTACGATGGACAACAAGGTATGTTGATCGATCTTATGCAGTTGTTGTTTGGCCAAGTCGACAGTATTTTGAGCATCAATAGAAGAAATAAAATCATGCTCAGGATGGCGCTGGTGATGATTGTTGAATCCGTACATTTCCTCTAACAAAAAAAAACTTCTTTTTTCTATTCATTTGTTTCGCTACATTTGAAAACTGTCAGCTAAATATTTATGATTTTATTATCATTTTGTAAGATACTAGTTTTCGCAAAACGGTGCACTTTGCTAAACTAGAACTTTTGATAGACCAGAATTACTAACCTGATTTACTTTGACTATTGGTCACAACCGATTGAACAGTGGTGTTGGTATCATCGGAAGTTGCATTGACCACATTTGTTCGATAGATACCTAAAATGTATGCATGTATATCCCATGTAAAAATGGTTCGTTAAATTTTAATTTAACGAAATTCAACAAAATTTCATGTTACCTTTTTGACCTTGAAAACGCGTTAAAAATTGGTCTTTTAACGAACTGTCACGTAGTATTCGTCGTTAACACCTGAGAACGGAAAATAATGCATAAAAGTCCGTTAAAACACCAGTTTTTAACGCGTTTTCAAGGTCAAAAAGGTAAGATGAAATTTTATTAAATTTCGTTAAATTAAAATTTAACAAACCATTTTTACATGTGATATATGAGTGAGTTGCGTTGACATTATACGATGTGGCGTAAAAAATCGAAAAAAATAAAAGTGACTGTAAAGCAAATTTGAATTATGCATTCAAGCGAGCTCTATCAGTTGTGTACAAACCAAACATTTTCTCAACTGTCAATTTTTCATTTCAGGAAAAAACGAGTTTTATTAAAAGATGCATAATTCCCAAGATTCTTTGACATAATAAAACACATAATTTTAGAACCATTTTGGTAAAATAAAATTACGAAATGACAATTTATATATTTTTATTATATGTCAATCGAAAGCTTTTGAGAAGGAGCATCTAATGAGCACATACAGAGCTTTATTGACACATACATATACATATCTTAAGAGCGAAAAGGTGCGGATGACACCCTCACCCTAGCTTGTTTGGCATTCTAAATTTCTTTATTTAGGCTTATGCTATATATTTAAGGCTCTCCTTCCTCTCAGACATGAACTTGTTCTTTTTCGTCTGATTTCACTCAAATGTTTGGAGGGTATTAGTCTAGGATAGGATGAATTATTAGTAAAATATCTCCTCCAAATTTTCAGTAAACTAATGAGTTATAATCAATTTATTGGTGAAAAACACCCTGTACGCGGACAAGAATTTCACAGTAAAGATACGAGCTAACAAGCTCGAGGAGGGGGGGGGGGTTAACTTATACAGTACTGTAACGGGAAATGGGTGAATGAATAATGTGATGGAATAGTATTCTGTTATTGCTGCAGCATTTTATTTATTTTAAGTTGTGAATCACAATGACAAACTAGAGGAATAGCGTTATCGCTATTCTTCATGTAGATGAAGTTCACTACATTATACTATACTCCAGTTGTGTCTCATATACTACAGAACATCGTCTTATATAGATGACACAAAGAAGAACAGAACACAAGAAAGATTGAAGGAAAGAGGTGAAGGCCAATCAGATAAAGTGATAATATCTTCAACAGTGTATCCGTTGGCACAAGTACCCTCAGAGTCAGATTTTTACAGAGCCAGATTTCTCGATTTTCCCATTGTTTCATTTTTAAAAACACAGTTTCGAAAATGTTCGAATTTAAAGCACTAATAAAAATCAAATATTAAAGTTTTTTATTTCCACAATAGACAAGTCCAAAAATCAGAACCTTTGAGGGCCTAGCCTCACCTGTCATCTATCCAGCAAAAAGAACATTATCTCTTCTTTATTGAGTCATTATCAAAAAATCCTTCTCCGCGTAATTGAGAGTGAGTGTAAGTGCGGGTATGAGTATAAATGTCTTTCTGTCTTGAAACCACATCCACATCCACCAACACCCACACCCACACCCACACCTGCATCTTTCTATGACAAAAACGCATTTTCGATTTTTCTTCGAAAAATTGACTTTTCTGAGAGGGTCCTTAATTGCTTTGTTGTTTGAAAAAGTATGTCAGGGTGTATCTCATGACAGAGCCTTTATTTTTAATTCATACTTTCGAAGCGGAGAAAGAGAATTATTAGTTGAATGACTTAAAAAACCCCAAAGGAATGACACTCTAATTATATATATGTGTTTGTATTTATAACAAAAGCATAGCTTAATTTTAAAAAGAGCTCTGTGGTGCCCTAATTCTTGACATACTCTTTCAAATAAAAAAACTATTAAGAGTATAAAATGACTTCGAAAGAGAAATTTAGAGTGCATGTTTCAGAAGGTATGAACAAAGAAAAAACGAAAGCAATTTTCCTTTTAAGAGAGCCTATTTTCGGGCAGAACATGGCGAATATCATCAAAACTTTTGCAAAAAACGACGCGCCAAAATATAATTCATGCCATTTGTAAAAAATGTATTGATGAATTATCTTTTCATGCATTTATCTGCATTTTAATGTTTCTTGCTAAAATGAACTTTTTTAAGAGGAGGGAAGGGCTTAATGAAGAAAAAAGACAATAAAGAAAAGTAACATATTCCATTTGTCTCATATGGCGCTAGAAAGTTACTAGGAAAACGAAGAGAAGAAAAATAAAGCTAAATTGAATTGATTGTTTCTATTCTTTTTCATTAGACGCACAGCATCTATCATGGTAAGTAGATGAAAAGTTGAAAATATGAATTGAATAAATTTATCGCGCTTCTGTTATGAGATGCATAATAACTAAATTTATATTCACTTACCGACGATGCAAAGCATCACGATGGATATAATTTGTAGTTGCATAACATATACTTTTTTGATGTAGAAGAATCAGAATCTTGATATATGTATTGGAGTCCTTATACATAGCTATTTATACATGTGCCCAATAGGAAGAACTAAGAATTATGACATTAACTCGCCTCGTTACTTTCTTCAATAAATACTTTAATCTTCATGAATCATCGAGAATATGGTAGAACATTTTCTTGTATATAGAACGATGTGAAAGGGCAAGATTAAGAAGTTGTAAATGTCATATATATTTACTTCTTGATAAAGACCATTTCTTGTGTCAGTAGATTCACGTTACTTTTTTGTGTATCTACATGATATGGGTATTAGTAAAATATGCTTCAACCCATTCTGACGACTCTTTTAATCCTAACATAATGTCAATCGATGGAGCTTAAAACTGTGCATTCATGACATTAGACTCATAACATTTTTTCTAAAGAATCTTTAACAAAATAATCAAATATCATTTTGGTAGATCTGTTTCACACTACTTCAATTCATTCCGATCCATATCGAACCAACTAAGTTCCTATAGATTTGGGATAGTTTTTTTTGATTATGCGGTATTTATTTCGTTCTGTCCAAGATATTTTTGTCATTTTTGTTAGTACAAGTACAATTTTAGAGGACGCTTACGAAAAGACAATGATGATAACACAGTGAAGAAAGGAGTTACAAAGAGGAGAAAACAAACAAACTGGCGAGGTCGTATAACCATGTCCACGTGATTCTTTGTTTATTCTTCGAACGAACTGTATATTTCTTCTTCCTTCCATTCTTCCATCATCACCATCACCCGACGAGCCAAGGGATTTGGGATAGTTTGGTCTGACTTAGAGTGGATTGAGATGAGTCGGAGTAACTTGGTATAGCTTCGGATAGATCTATTGAAATGGTATCTGATTGATACAAATATGATAAAGAGTAATAATGAATCCAAATATCGATGAGTAATGAAGTTCCCTCGACTGCAAGGAAGGTGATACGAAAAAGGGTGTGGGTGTGGGTGTGCGTGTGGGTGGGTGTAAGTGTGGGTATGAGTATACATGTCTTTCTATCTTGAAACCACACCCACATCCACCCACATCCACACCCACACCCCCACACCCACACCCACACCCACACCCTCAAGGGTGTGGATGTGTGAGTACCGGTGTGTTCCTTGCTGATCTAAAGGAAACACCCACACTCATACCCTCAAGATGGTATGCTGAACTCACCCTCACCTCTCAAGATCATTCAAAATTTTATTTATTCTCGTATATTTTATCAAGGAATTAATTGAGAAAACCCATCAAGAGCTTACAAAAGTTACATGCTTATTTTTATTAAGAATTATGAAATCAATATAAGTCGTCACGAAAACAGCAAGGAAAAAAGTTTGTTATTCTGAAATCGATTACTATGAATCAGTTCTAAATCAACATGAACTGAAGGTGATGTAATCTTCAGATTCAATTTTGAATTTATATTCATCATAAATTTGAGAGCAAGCAAGTTATAGTTCGCAATTCAATAGGGAATAAGTAGCGAAAAAAAGTTCAATAGTCATCCTGATTGTCTGGTTCTTGCGTTATATTGATTCGGTCAATGTTTGTTCCGGAGTCTTGTTGACTATTATGTGGCTGATGCCGGTTTTGCTGAACAACTTCAGATGGCTCTGGTTGTCCTTGATTGGATACAGATGTTCCTGATAAAGATATTGAATAAGAATATTAAATTAAAAAGTAAATAGAAAGTGTAGGATCTTCTAGATGGATCAATAGAAAATTAACACATGACTTGAATATTTTCAATCTAGTGAAACTTTTAAAGTGTATAGGTATTTATCATACCGATACTATCTGAGTATCAAGTTATGCTAAGAAGTTAGACTGGTACTTATAATGATACTATTACTTAGTTTTTATTGATTGTTCATTTTAGAAGTTCGAGACTTTCGTATGAGATGATTGTGAATAAATCCAATTCCAAACTACGAGATATCCAGCCGATGTCTGTTTTTTTATCTCGTTTCTTCGTCGAACTTTCTTGAAGAATCCAAAACAAAGAAGAGTCTTTTTCAATTACAATCATGGATAGTAGACCAAGAGATTATTTATATGACTGAAACGTATAACTGTATTGATAACCGAAAGATGAAAGTTTTAGCTACTATACTGAATTTTACTTCCTAATTTGTCTTTCTTTCAATTTATTAGACATCTAATTCACTTTTTTGAAAGATCATGATACACCATATTACACTATGTAAAAGTAATAATTATTGCTACAGTGAGATAAAAACAAAGATCTCAATTAGTTATTGTTTTACTTCATGGCATTCTACAACTTATTGATCTTACAGGAGAAAAATATATGCAACAGGGTTACATCAGTATAGCAGCTGAAACTTTCATTGTTCGGTTATCAATATAATTAAACGTTTCAGTCATATAAATACTCTCTTGGTCTTCTGTCCATACCTGTAATCGAAAAAGATTCTTCTTTATTTTCGATTCTTCAAGAAGGTTCAACGAAGAAACACGAAAACTAACAGACATCAGCTGGAAATGCCGTAATTTGGAATTGGATTTATTTACAACCGTCTCATACGAAAGTCCCTAACTTCTAAAACTAACAATCGATACAAATTAAGTAATAGTATCACTATTAGTACCAGTCTAACTTCTTACCATAACCCGATACCAATACTAGAACGATGTCTAATATCTGATAGTATCAGTATGGGTACATGCTTAGAAGTGAAAATTTTTGAATTGTCGTGATCTTATGCATTTTATTGTTGAGTATCTATTCAATTCGTACACGTGAATCAAACTTACGTGGTTTTTGTACAATTAATGGAGGATCTTTATCCATATTGAAACGCTCCATAGCTGTCATCATCCAATTGAGTGATTTTTGAAACTAAATTATAAAAAGTGATGCGATCAGGCAAGAAAATGTTGATATTTACTGATATCATTTCTGTCATCATTTTATCGGAACGATTATCGATCCGTTCGATTCGATCTTGTAATTGTGAAACGGTTGATTCCATCGATGATGATTTACTATCAGTGTCTGTACGTAAACGTTTAAATTCATCTTTCAATTGATTTATACTAGACTGAAGCCATTTGGACTCATCAGTACTAGTCGGCGATAATTCTGATCTACAAATATTCATTAAAAATACAGTAAACATTCGACTGTAGTAGAAATTTTCTTCAGCAGTTCAACAACTTTCTGACTTAATCTTCTACGATAGTATAAATCAAATGAATTGACGTCTCCAAATGTATGAGAAAAAGATTCGAGTCTGAACAATACTTAATCTTTTTGTATCAATAATACAATGAGTCCTGAGCTATTTAATTCATTTTTGACGAATAATCTTGAAACAAAATATCCGTTAAGAAATTAGTCATGATAACTAGTACTTTTCAAAGTGGAAAGTTTTCGTTTCTTTTACTTGCAAGTAGATGTGTACCAAACTAGAGCTCAAACTCTAAAACTCGAACTCAATTCGAATTTCATGTGTCGTGTTCGATCAAGTTGAGTGATGGATAAATAGAGAGACAGTTCTCTATGAATAAAGGAAAGTCCTCCAGGAACTATGAGTATCTCTATAGGATAGCCATGAGTAGGGATGCAACGGTGACGATCATTAATCGCTATACCCGGCGTGCCAGTGAACCGGTGCAACGATAACCGTTTGAACCGGTGAAACGATAACCGCTTGGACCGGTGAAACGGTGACGATTAATCGGTCTAACGGTGAAAGCCGGTGAACGCCCTTAAAACCTACGGTGAAGACCGGTATATTAACTAATTCATACTCCTTCAGAAAAACTGTGACTAATGGGGCCAAAGTATCGGTCTTCATCGTAGGTTTTAAAGCTTTCACCGGCTTTCACCGTTTGACCGATTAATCGTCACCGTTTCACCGGTCCAAACGGTTATCGTTTCACCGGTCCAAACGGTTATCGTTTCACCGTTTCACCGGTCCGAACGGTTATCGTTTCACCGGTTCGAACGGTTATCGTTTAGCTACGGTTGACGGTGAGCCGGTTTCCGTCACTTTTGCATCCCTAGCCATGAGGATTTACGGGTATCCTTATATGATGCATCGTACTCTGAGAATTCCTTTTATCAAAACAGATACTTCAAAATATCATTTAATGGATAGTTGATAGTTTCAATCGAATACTTAGCTACTATACTTTATTCATTCATCACTCAGCTCGATCGAATTCGACTCAAACTCGATCTTTAAAACTCAAGATCGAATTGAAATCGAGCTCAAATAGTTTGGGTTTAGTGTATGTCTACTGACAAGAAAAGTTTTTGATAAATAAACTATTTTTCGAATGAAAATATTTTCTATATTTCCTTATAATAATTCAATCTAATGATTTCAAGTTTCTCAAACATAATTTTTAATTATAAATTTATTCAAACAGTTTTTGTTAGGGGTAGGACAGTTCCATATTAGTTCCGTTCTTAGGAACTGTATTAACAGTTCTTTGAATAGAACTGAACTGAACTAACAGTTCTTTGAATAGAACTGAACTGTACTAACAGTTCTTTGAAAGGAACTGAACTGTATTAGCAGTTCCTTGAATAGAACTGAACTGAATCAACAGTTCTTTGAATAGAACTGAACTGTACCGACAAGTTCAGTTCCTTTCAAAGAACTGTTATTTCAGTTCAGTTCTTTTCAGAGAACTGTTGTGAAAACTATTTTTTTGGAAATAAAAACAAATTTGAAACAAAACAGTTCTTTTAAAAGAACTGTTGAAACCGACCAGTTCCTCTGAAAGAACTGTTGATACAGTTCAGTTCCTTTCAAAGAACTGTTTGGTAAAGTTTAGTTCTATTCAAAGAACTGTTAATACAGTTCAGTTCTATTCAAAGAACTGTTGATACGGTTCAGTTCATTTCAAATAACTGTTAGTTCAGTTCAGTTCTATTCAAAGAACTGTTAGTTCAGTTCAGTTCTATTCAAAGAACTGTTGATTCAGTTCAGTTCCTATCAGAAGAACTGAACTGGTAGTTCTTTTGACCAGTTCATCCGAACTTGGAACTGTAAACTGTCCTACCCCTAGTTTTTGTTAGAAAATGTCGACTATATGTTTTATAATTCGATATCTATGAATAATCGCAATAGGAACTATTCTTCTTAAAGATTTTGTCTTAATTCACTGAAATCTACACAATCATATACAAAATAATAACTAAAGAGTTATTGAAAACTTCGAATATAAGTCTGACTACTTACGAAGTATCTGCCATTATTGTATTCGAGGCTGCATTGGCTTGTGCATCGACTAATTGTCGAATATAGTCGTTCGTTGAAAATCGTTCGAATTCTGACCATGCCTCATCAAGATAAGTATCTTCCGGAAGCATTTCTAGTGATCAAATGATCGAGTAAATATAGAGTGTCTCAAAAGTAGTGAACGAATGTAAAACACAATTTTTTTACTCCCATTGGATGAATCTGAACAATCGATATAGCTGCTAAAGCAGAATTTTCGACGTTTTTTCCTCTATCTCTTAACGAATATAATCGAGTCGCCCCAATGTGTGTCAAAGAATATGTTGTAAAACTCTATCAAATGAAATGTATCGAAATACTACGTGGATTTCTTAATTTTTATGCTGATTATCAGCGGAAGGATTCACGCTGAAAAATAGATTTTCAAAAGATGTTCTCAGACCCATACTGCTGTGACTCGATTATGTTCGTTAGTATGCACAGAAAAAAATTCGAACATAGGACTTTAGCTGCTATATCGATCGTTCTGATTCATTTAGTGGGCGAAGGGAAATTGTGATTTCGATTCGTCGACGACTGTTGAAACACTCTTTATATATAGATATAGATTCAGATTCTATGGCATGACTGTGCTAATATTTTGATACCCAAGGTAGTAAAATAGATATTATACTAACTGAAACACTGCATGTTTCGTGGATCACGTTTACATTTTTGCCAGCACCATCGGCAGAATTGAGCCATTGAGATTAGAATGGTGAATGGAGGAAATAATGCTGGTCGAGTATAATAATCACGGATAAGGGTACAACGATCATAAGCCCAAATATACTGTGCTTGTGTTTCGATGTCGTTTATTGTATTGCTAGAGAATTATTTTTACGCATCACCGTCTAAAGCCATTGTCGCATTTTAACATACCTGAATAAGGCAATGAGCAAGTTCAACAATAGAATATTGACAAAAAGCATATGAAATGCAAACATAACTTGAGTGGCTATAGTAGTGCTGGCATCAGGTGTTTCTTAAGAAAAAATATGTATGTATACAGACAAATTGTTAAGTTACTATGACTATTTTTACTGCTTTTATCTTACCATCTAACTGGGAAAGTTCATTATCGAAGTGACCCAAGACGAAATAATAAACTGGATAGACCACATTACGGAAAAATTGTTGTCCGTCAAAATCTATGGTGCCATAGGCTATCATAGATCTCGATGCTATTCCATAGCCAAAAATGAAAACAACAATGATGATTATGAATAATAATAAATCGTTTGTCTGTAATGATACAAAAAAAAACAATATATAAAACAGATAACACTAATACAATTTGCCTACCATCTTTCGAATCATCGCTAGTTTTGGACCAAGATCTGGAGTAACACCAACAAAAAGAACTGCAATAATAAACCACAACTCGAGATCATAAGCCAACACTATTCTATAAATAGAAAGTCAAATTTACTGACTGTTTCAATGATTATATAATCTACCTTGCAGCTGAAAAATTGTCGGCACCTCTCAGTATAAAACGTAGTATAAGTCCAACATAGAAGAGAAGGTATGCTGGTAAAATTAAAAATAGATTCGATAATCGATTATTCCAATCAAAATAGGTTAAAAGTTTGCCTTTGAACTTTTGACTTTCTTGGAAATAGAACTAATAAATAAAGAAGTTTAATGATGGACACTTTCAGTGAAATGGAATTTACTGACCTGTCGAGCTTCTTCAAGAAACATGCTAGTCACAGTTATAATAGTTAATATTTCAGCCCAATGAATAATTATAGTATCATCTGATAGTGGGTTAAAGGCATACAGCATATAATAACTGAATAAAAGTAAGAAAAGTATATAGCCAAACTAAAATATTGAAAAAAAATAAAAATAGCATAGTCTAGAGATACAATCACATCACGTTTAACTCACGCAAGTATAGACATATTTGACAATAGGTCGATTGTGAAAGTGAAAAAATTGTCGAATTATTGGTTCTCCAATGTCATAGTCGTCTGAGTAATCAATGCCATATTTCTTTAATCTAAATTCTTTTTTTTTTGTTTATATTATGATTGATCAATAAATACTTACCGTCGTCTCGGCTCGTTCAGTGTTGTTGTCTATCGAATAATAAAAAGATGAAATAGTTCTACTAAAGATTTCTTTAACTTTACATTAGTTTCTTGTTGTATTGAACGATTTTCAGAGAAATGTTTCTCGTACGTAGAAATAAACAACTGTGAAATGCCCATTGTGAGTAAATTGACAACAAGACGAGTTCGTTCTTGAACTGGATCAACTTTATCATACCATATATTTGTTAGTAGAGCTTGACATGCATCTTCATTTAAAAATTTCTTATTATCTCCTGCAATAGCCATTTGAAGACATGTAACATTTCCGTAGAGATCTACTTGACGAATAATCAGTTCACATGTTTGCTGCTTATTGTACATATATGAACAACGTACGAACTCAATGGCATATGTTTCGAAAACGTCCGCTTCCGAACGCAATATCTCTTTTGATCCATGATCTGGTGCATACTGTGTTAGTGATTTGAGAATTTTCGAAGCGATAAGAGCCGAACATATACGACTCTTCATTTGGCCAAGAATAATTTTTGCCATCGCAAGTCGATATGTGACTATACACCAGAGAAAAATATCACGATAAATAGATTCAACGTTTTTTCTTGTAGTTTGAGACGATCGAACGTTTAGTTCACACCCACATTCGACATCTGGATTCATAGGATCAACCTTTGATGTTCTTTTTGATTTCTCTGGAACTGATTCGCCTTTTGATGGATCTTCATAAAGTGTATCCATAAAATCGCTCACTAACATTTCGAGAATTCTATTTAAATCAGTTTGCTTTTTGAAATTAAGTTTTTGATCGATCTTATCCAATAGATAGAGTGGATCTGGCTGTAGAAGATACAGTAATTTATATCTCAAAATAAAATTTGAACATAAAACAAATCTACTTACATTTTTACGTTTTGTTTCCGAATATAATTCTCTTAAATAGTCGTTATCAGATGACCAATTTTCGTTTCTCCAGGTATCAGCAGTGTATCCCAACAAGACCGAAAGATCAGTATCGAGCTGGATAAAGTTCCGAACAAATACTTGCAAATTTTTACTTAAACCATCGAGTAGTAGCGATCGATTTTGTTCAATCTAAAATGAGAGAGTGTATTATGAATGTTGGAATAAAAGTATGAACAATATACTTTGTTTGAATCATTCCAATCCATTGTACTAGTAAGTAGTTGATCTTCAGTAATATTAGGAATGCTCCAACGAAGTGCTAGACGTATTTGATCATCGTTAGTCATGTCACATACGTTGTTTTTCTTTGAAAGGTTCTTCCTTGCTATAGGTAGAAAAACCTCTCGTGGCGATTTCTTGATAAATTCAAATTATAAAATGTCTTTTCCAAAATATGATGGGTGTGGGTGTGGTTGTGAGAGACGAAGAGCCCTTAGCACCCACACCCTCAAGTTTTGATCTCTATATCTGTACTCATAGGACACAGAAATGACTAATGTTCATTGTTCAATGAGTTTAACAAGAAGTTTTTAAACTTACTTGACATAGTTTCCTATCACACAATCTGCAATAACAAAAGAGAACTATTCATTCAGATTTACCTTGAACTGAAGCAACATAAATTGTGGTTTGTAAAGAAGTGGATATATTGAAGTCGAAGATATGTATGTTATCACGAAGCGGAGATGTCAAACAGGTTGCAAAACAGAAAATAAAATGTGCAAGATTTCGTTTTTCACCCAAATTCAATAATTCACCTAGAGGCACCTTCATGCCAGCTGTCTTGTATTCTTCCTTTCGAATTGCGGCATAAAGTTTCAATAAATCATTGTAAATCTCTAGACGCTGCCGTTTACTAAATGGACGCAAAACTTCTCGCAACCTATTCATAAAAATATTAAAATTACAGACGAATTCCTGTCATTAGATTAACTTACGTGAGTTCAGTCAAGGGAGGTTCTTCTTCAGGTTTACGAAGAGTAAAAGAATATTCAAGCATGACCATATCAATATCATTTTCGTCATCGCTGTTTCTCTTGTCACGATCAATATCTTTGTCGGTTTGATTTCTTGTTGCTTTTGAAAAATCTTTGGTAGAAACCTTTTTAATAAAGAAATATTTTT